TGGTGTTATTTTCTCTCCCGTCCCCAGATCAAGATGGTACGCTCCCTGATCCTGTCCGGGGCGGCAGACTACGACGATTTCTTCCAGTCGCTGCGCATGTTGGAGTCTGCGTTTATCCTGGTGGTCAAGGACTTGAGGTCGCAGGTCGTGCGCGAGGGCTGCATCACCATAGCGTGAGTCGCCACAGGGTTTTAGAAATAGATCTGTCTCTCGACAAGGTGGGATTAGGGGGCGTTCTTCAATTTTTGAAGCATATGGAGTTATTGTTTTCATCTTAAAGCTTGTTTGTGGGTGGTTGGTGGGTGCTTTGGTGTGGTTTGCCCCTTCTTTCCTATCAAACATCTATCATTCTTATCTCTCCTTCTTTTTTATGTTTGTTACTCTCTACACCTCTAGTCTTCGGCACTCATATGACCTATTTGTGTTGCAAGTTCCGTAAAACTCTTACCAATACATACTCATATTTTACAAATTCTGTGTGTGTGTATGTTTTACAACATCTGTGTGTGTGTGTGTGTGTGTGTGTGTGTGTTTTACATCTGTCTGTGTGTGTGTGTGTGTGTGTGTATGTGTGTGTGTTTTACATCTGTCTGTGTCTGTGTGTATGTGTGTGTGTTTTACATCTGTGTGTGTGTGTCTGTGTGTGTGTGTGTATGTGTGTGTGTTTTACATCTGTCTGTGTGTGTGTGTGTTCCAGGTACATGTCCCAACAACTGGGCACCAAGTTTGACCACTTCGCCGAGGCTGTCTTGCCGTCCCTCATCAACCTCATTCCCAACAGTGCCAAGGTCATGGCCACGTCAGGCACCGTCTGCATTCGCTTCATCATGCAGGTAACGGGGGACACGGGGGGGACTCTTTGATGCTTTGGTGGAGTGGAGAGTTTAGTTTGGTCTATAATTCCCTGGTCTTTATCACGCAGGTAACGGGGAACTCTGTGATGCTTTGGTGGAGTGAAATTGATCGTTTTATGCTGACTCGAAGTTAACTGCAATATAACTTTACACATGTGTTGATTTTCCTGATAATCCCAGAAAACAGGATTTCCAAAATTGTCCAGATTTTGCCCCAAAATTACCTGGATTTATAAAAGACTTATCTGTTTTTTTGCATTTCGTATTGCATATGGCATAAGGATTGTCATGGGTGATTTGTAGATACTCTGGTGTGGTTTGCTTCTTCTTTCCTATCAAACACCCATCTTCCTTATCACTTCTTTTTTTATGTTTGTTACTCTTTTGTAACACCTCTTATCTTCGCCACTTATATGACCTTATTGTGTTGCAAGTGCCATAAAAATCTTACGGAAACTAAAATAAAAATTCTCATGTTACCAAATATTACAGTAATTGTAATGTAATGATTTGTAAGTTTTAGTTCTCAGAGTGGGTGTTTTACATGGATACTGAAAGGTTCAATATTCTGTTCAATTTTTAAAATTCATTTTTTAAAAATGTTTTCCTCCAGAGCCCTGTCTTCAAAAGTTTCTGTTTTTCCGTGTTTCAGTTTGTCCACACCAATCGCCTCATTCCAATCGTCACCGCCAACTTGACGTCTAAGTCGAACATCATCAGAAGGTGAGACTTTGTGCTTTTGTCAACAACTGAGGCCTCTTTTCAGAAATTCTGGTGGTTGCAGAGACTCCATAAACGTTTTTCAGCACTGTTTAGGTCATTTACAAGACATGCTTTGCTGCAGTGCTGATTATGAGGGATGCTTTAGCCCTGATGAAAGATGGAGATGTTATGCTTATCATCATCATCATCATCATCATCATCATCATCACCATCATCATCATCATCATCATCATCATCCAGTGCCAAATCTGCGACAGACATCGGCGATCATGGCTCTCCATTCATTCCTTTGTTCGGATGGTCTAAAAGAACTATGTTTCCCTGATCTTTCCCTGTTACCCATTTGTTTAGGTTCCCTAAGTATGTTGTTCAGGGCCTACCCCTGCCTGTGCTGATAAATATGATAAATAGTATTTATATGGGACATATCCTCGCTCGACAGCAAGCTCTCTATCGCTATATCAACTGACTTTTGTTATCAACTAACTGTTGTTGTCGCTGTCGTCCCCAGGTTCTCGTGTGAGTTTGTGAACCAGATCCTTCACTCGTGGCCCACCCACAGTCTGGAGAAACACATCGCTATCCTACAGGACGCCATCAAAAGGGGCATCAGTGATGCTGACTCGGAGGCTAGGGCACACTCCAGGAAGTGAGTGAGGGGGGTTCGAAACCTGGGAGGGTGAGAAAGAGAGAGGGGGGAAAATCACTGTTACTCTTTTATTTTAATTGTGCGAATTTGGGCGTAAAACTGTTATAATCACTGTTATATTTGATTTAAACTGTATCGATGGGGGGTTAGTAAATCACTGTTTGTCTTTGATCTAAATTGTGTTAAACACTGACTTATTGTTGAAATAACAATCTCTGTTCTGAATTATTGAAATAACAATCTCTGTTCTGACTTATTATTGAAATACCGTGGCGTCGGTGGCCTAGTGGTTAGGCTCTCGGACTCGCAACCGTAAGGTCGTGGGTTCGAATCCCGTCAGGGGCCCGACGTTGTGTCCTTGGGAAAGGCACTTTACACGAATTTTCCTCATTTCACCCAGGTGGGAATGGGTACCGGGCTATAGACAGCGAAAGATCTTGTCAGT